CTTCCCTCCGCGTGGTTCGAGCCCTGCCCGCGCTCTCTTCATCATCCTAATCCAGCGAGTGGCCAAGTAGACTTGCTAATAGAATTGTCCCGACGGGGTGGAACCCCGTCGGTTCTACTACAGTGGCCATTCACTGCGAATGACCATGTGGTACCCTCAGTGGCCTTCCAGTTGTGATCAGGGCCCCATATACACTTAAGTTAGCGAGTGGGTGTGTTGGGGAGGGGGGGGGGAGAGTGTAGACACGCTAGCTTCATGCGCTTCCCTGTGCAGGCTTTGAGCTCTCTTAGCTCTCTCATTCCCTTCCTAATCCACCGAGTGGCTAAGTTAGGTATGTCAACTAAAATTGTTTTATAAACTAACCATATGGTATCAATCAAGTGGGGCTGCAGAACCAAACCTCACCCGCTTGTGTTTTGTGGGCTTGTCGCTCGCCGCCAAAACCTAACTGATGAACTGTACGTGACCTACTACGGCCCCCGTGGGTGGTCGTCTACTAAAAAGTATGTAATTATAGATTTGGTCTTACAAACAAGTCAAGATAGACCAGAACAATCGTTTTTGTTAATCACCCTGTCAGACCACCACTCGATGCCGCGGATATCCAGAGTTTGAAGCCAGGTCTGTGGGTTTACGTAACTCAAAACTGCATGAGAGAGACCTGGATCTCATGTTGTCATTGATGGTGAACAGACATAAAAAGCATGTAGCAGTGGCATCAACTTGTCTGGACTGACCGCCTACAGTATTAGGAGTGTCTGACCATGGTGAGAAAATCAAAAACTATCATCCAGGTTGGTCGGGCTTTATTAGCCAGGATCTCTTGTTTCGTGAAGGTATTTCGCAATACAACTATGCGAGCATCCTACCCTCAAGATGTAGGGTTAATAGGAACGTCCAGGTTGCTTTCGGTGATCAGACCGAATCGATGAATTCCAGTTCAACATGATCCTGAGTATGCTTAGTCGTGGACGACAAAGTGACGGCACATGCTTCAGACATAGAGAAGTTTACTTCAAAATATCTATCCTGGGTTTTATGCATGCTGTCTAGCCTTGGCGTATGAATGAATGACACAGAGGCCGGCACAGACATTCTAGTTTCAAGGTCACCTTGGAATGCATATCAAACATATGCATTCCCATCAGTCACGCCCCGAATACCCAGAAATGGATCGTTGATTGCAATGGCACCATCATCCGCAAACTCTGTAGTTTTAACTAGATGGAATGATTTACCTTCCAGCGATTTGCAGGCAGCTATGCTGATAACCCATTACATTTATCACAACGAAAATTAAGTTACGTGTTTGGATTTGCGATCTCCCAAATCGTCTATTCTACAGCCGGTGGGCTAACTCATGAAATGTCAACAGAAGTTTCGAAATCCCTTCTCGTTCCGAAAAGATTAAGTAAGTAAAAACTAAAACTAATAATCATGCAACATAAATCAATAATGATCTAGTTACCTCAGGGTGTCGGCTTTCGAATGAACTTATTTCCCACTGCATGCAAGAACTATACCTTGCAAAGATGACTACATACGTAGCATGCAATTTTCTCATTGATTTTCGATCCCCTTGAAAATTCAATTATAGTTCATGAAAAAAACATGCAAAAAGTATTCATTCCTTTACATATTCGGTAGAAAATCACGTCGTATTCCAATTTAGATGCTCGATGAAGGGTATATTTAGGTTTCAAAAGTTTCTAATTGTGAGATTTTTAACACCGTTAAATGTCCGTTCGTAAAATGTCATGTATCTGCATTTAAGCATGTGGCTTGTAAAGTTAACAATATTGCTCAAATCCACTGCTTAATTTTATGAAGCCCATTTAGTCTCCTCTTAATACCGTAGAGAAATGCATGGTTTTCCGTACACGGAAAATATACGGCTTGTAGTTTTGAAACCCCAAATGCAAGTGTAACAGCAGGCCGGGTTCAAAATTATGCGGTAATCAGAAAAGTTTTCTAAAACCGAATTATACTCTTCTACTAAGTATACAAACGGAAGAAGACGTGATTTTCCACCAAATAAGTAAAAGAATGAATATTTTTTGCATGTTTTCCATGAAATATAATTGGATTTTCAAGGGCATCGAAAATCGGTGAGAAAATTGCATGCTACTTATGTAGTCATTTTATGCAGAGTATAGTTCTTACATGCAGTCGGAAATAAGTTCATTCGAAAGCCGACACCGTGAGGTAACTGGTTCCTTATAGAATTATGCTGCACGGTGATTAGTTTTATAACCCTACTTAATTAATCTTTTCGAAACGAAAACGCATTTCGAAACTTCGGTTGACATTTTATGAGTTAGCCCACTTACTGTACTAGTAAACTCTAGAATATTATAGATACATTCGCCCTATCAATGACCGAACAGTCAAGCTTAGCCGGGGTCTTACAGCCCAAGAGAAAGCAGAAGAGTGCTGTCACTTTGTAAGCAGTTGATCCCGTATTCCATTATGCCCTCAAATCTAAATAGCGGTTCATCTTTTGAAATCCTACAAGGACGTTTGAATCTCCATATGCTTTTCCGTTCCTATCATTGTCTAACACTACACAATATCAAGACACATGTTTACATAGTCAACTGTATCAGACGTCCTGAGACGTTTTGGACGCTGACATCAGCCAACAGCGTATTCGAAAATTTCTCTGCTCAACGCTGTTGAGCTAATCGTCGTCCATCGAACGCATGAAAATTGTTCGAGAATGGGTGCGATTTGGACACATTTGCATAATGCCGGCCATTTTACGGGTCCGCATGTCACACCCTTCCTCATTTCGCCCTAACAAGTCCGCGCCCGGTGTGAAATTCGTGCCCGCGACAGGCCCAGTGCCTGCACTTCTGTCCTAGCAAGTCGGTTGTCCGGAGGCGCTTCTGCCCGGGTGACGCGGTGGCTCGCGCGGGACCGCAGGACCGACCGGTGACCTTTGACCACGCGTGCGCGCGCACGTGCGCTGACACATCGCCCCTCGAGAGCTGATTCACCGAGCCCGTCCACCGCACGTGTGACTAACGCTCACTCTCTCTCCCTCAAGGCCACTCCGGTAGCCCCGGCGGTCTCACAGGCGACCGTCCCTTCAAGCCTCTCGCCACTTGACTATTGGCCTACTGGAGGCGCTCCTATCCGTTCCATCAGAGGTGGCCTAGTGTGGAGCTCTAAGGGTTGCAGCGCTAACGCTAAATGGCCCAATTGTGCCGTCTTTCTTAAGAGGGCATAAATGTAAACCATACGGGAAATGTGTCCTAACGACTTTTCGCCCTCAAAAGGAGGCGAAAGCCAATTTTACACCTTTCCTTCCGTGTATGCTGTAGATTAAACAGTTATGTAGATATCGGCTTACTGGAGCTGCGTTTAGGGGTAGAATTAAAATAGGTGTTCAATGCGCCTACGGCACCATCTATAAAACGTCGTATTTTCCGGAAAGCTAATAAAAGCACCGATTTAGATCGCTCACAACTTCTATACCGACTTCTAAGCAAAGCGAATGAGTAGCCTGGTTACCGCATATTCTAGGAAATTTCTTACACCGTGGAAACTTGAATGAGACATGATTAATCTGTGGGTTATCGGAGTAAAATCAGTAAGAGGAGGAGGAGGAGGAGGAGGAGGAGGAGGAGGAGGCAGAACGGCTGACATAACGCTGCCATCTGAATCAAGTACTTGCGAAGGCCTGTCTGAGAAAGGCCACGGACGACTTAAATGAGTTCATTGATTGCAGGAATCGCCTACCAGAGATACAAAGGAGTGGATCACAAGGAGGAGGGTTTGGGTTGTAAGTGTAATTTATTCGAAGGTTAGTCCACGGACCACTTGCATCTTTGGCGGGGTTTCGAGGGCAAAATAGCATAGACAGTTAACAGAGAGAGAGCGGGAATAGGTATCACAAAACGGACGGCAGTCTTTCCTGAAGCACTGCTTCAAGAAAAATTTCATAAAAGATAGCAGGGACAGCAGGAGCAGCAAACAGGTCTAGCTTTGATTTCCATCGGCGTTCTCTCTTGCAAGTGGTGCTTCATTTCTTCATCTTCCAGTTGCTTCAGGCGTCTAAAAAGGGACGTAAGCCAATATTGTTAACAACATGCGTTCGACTTCCCTGAGCGTGCTCGCGAACCTTCCGTAAAATAACCGCCAAAAAAGCCCAGGCGGAGATTGACATCAGCACTGCTTACGTCCCACCATCCGTCAGCCCTGAGCAAACCTCAAGGCCCGAACGACTAGGGATTTCAAAGTCGAACGCAAAAACCCCAAGGTAAAGCAGGGCCAACCTGTCCCTACCTGTAAATGGATAGATGAATGGCACTTCACCATAGTCTGTCCACAGTGCCAGACCCAAACCATCCCCTGTCTGAGTAGGCATGCTGCTCAGTATAGGAAGTGGGGCCGACATTAGGAGGCCCTTCCTCAGGACAAATCAGCGCATCCCCCATAACGATCGCGTTGACGTGACCCCTCCACTCACTTTGGCCCTTTTGGTACCCTCACTGAGGTATGATCTGAGTTACCCCTACAGGGAGCCCGACAGATCGGGAGCGGAGTCGTGTGTGGCACGCGTAGACGGGTTGTTTGGCATGGTCAGCTACTGCGCCTGAGGCCTCCTAATATTACCTTGCCGCCGAAACAAAATGGGGAGTGGATGCTGCGCAAGTTGTCCTCACTGTACACCAATTCACGTGCTGGTCATCGGTGCTGTGCCTAATATGCCCTGGGGCATGCGGTGAAAGCCGTTGCTTACAGTAGTCGGAATGTCATCATAGGGGTGTACACTTGTTTCAGAGTTCCCATCGTGAGAAAATGACTCCAAACCGACTAAGAATGAGCCTGAACGCATGAGACGATTTGGCTCAAACTTGCGCGCTAAACTGAGCCAGATCCCGCATACTCACACCGTATTTCGAACTACAAAAACCCTAGCAGGAAGTACTGATTGTACCTTATTTCCTTGTCTCAGGCAGCAGCTGACAATCTGTGATCGCAGGGCTTGAAGTACGGCCCTATGACTCCAAAGCACTCTAGATGAATTACAGTTGCAATGAGTAGGTGCTAGCTCCTGTCTCGACCGTTAGCCCCCTGACGCTCTGCCACCTACTAAAATGACCTGCAGTCAGGAAGGACATAGTTTGCTCTAGATGACGAATAACTTGCAGTCGTGCACTGCTGACTCATTTTTGCCTTTCCCTTCTGTTTGGTGTTCAGGTGGGTCTGCTGATCAACACACATTATTGACAGACGACTGAGTCGATTTCCCTTGTTGATGCGATAGTGAACAGGCTAAGTTTTAGCATCGGTGCCGAAGCATCACCCGCACTGCCTGGTCAATATACATCAACTCGCCGACCGTTCTCAAGGAATAGCATTACCGCGTTAAACGTTGAGACGACCTACGCGTTCTGTGATATAGAGAAAGACACGCCTAACTCTCCCCCTCTCGCTCCCTCTCATCTTTATTGAGTCAGACCGACTACAACTAAGGTTCGTTGTACTGGCTAACCAGGTCATCTTTCAAAACGCCTATTAATTACCTGAGCATGGTAGTCATCCGGTGATTACTGGATTGATTACGTAGGAAATCCTGCTTGAACAACCAGCTTACTACGTCAGGATTGGTTTCATAAGGGCGGGCAACTTGACACAACTGGGATCAAACCCACGGATCCTGGTGGGGCCTCGTTGCACAGGGAGCTAGAGCGCCGGGTATAGTCGGGCCTTTCCCATGCTGTCGTGTGATCGAATACCACCGCGTTTGCCGAGCTTTTCGAAGTTGGGTCAAAATAACTTACCTTCCTTCCTCAGCTATTCATGGTACAATCCCATTCCAGTCTCCCTCGCCTCTGTCCGTGATATTTACCGAATGCTGATCGCTACTCACTATGTCTTCGCTCCCGATCCTTCAGGCCAGAGCTCTAGGGCAAGTCACTGCCATGCATCCGAACATTATTTCCAACACAAAATACGTACACGTCTTTCTAGTTGGGACGGTAGAGTGTAACCTCAATTAAGAACCAAGCTCACACACATATGCATTTCGTTGAGCATACTTTTGTCAAATACGGTAGACTTAGGCTCAACTTACCGTGCGAATCGTTTGAAAGCATGTGGTAGATTAAGGCCCATCTTCGCACTGACCGGATAGAACAGTGCATTCTGCCTCTACGAATGAAAAGTTAGGGGTATTTAAAGTGGGCAGTTTAGCTAGACCTACCACCTAGTCTGTTGGAGATCATACGATTGAACTCCGGTCTAACTAGAATATTACATGTAATCTCTCAAGCATACAGGGGTGAACGTGCAGCATCTAAGCCGCAATTTAAAGGACGACAAAATTCCTGAAATGCAAAAATGAATTACTTAAATAGGACGTCAGGTGTACAAAACTGTCTTTTTTGGCCAGAGAATATGCAAGTAAGCCATCCGAAGTTTATTTTTTCAAACCTGTATTCTTAATGCTTTCCTAAAAAACGAACAAGTCAACAATAACCTTACCTAGCTTTTTGCACAAAAGGCCCCAACGAAATAGAGGCCGTGCATACGATGTGATAAAATACGTTATTTGCACCACCTAAATCTCATTCTATTGGGAATAAGTCATGGACGTCCGCAATTGAAAAGGCAATGGTCGTGCACACCCCGTTACTCGACTTGCTTCAGCCCAGTCGTATGCTTCTTTTAACTTCACTGACCAAATTCTGAAAAACACTGCGGCTACGACCGGATCGTAACCCATGTCGGCAAGGACAAAGTTTGAGTATAGGAACAGCTTTGGTCACTTGAGCTACGGACTGCTTGTCAGAAGCTTTCGTCGTCTTGAAGGCAGAATTATCGGACGGATTCAAATAATCCTCGGGGTTGGAGCATCATTCTAATGGACGACATCTCAACAAAACCAAACTTACGAAGGAAACGGTATTTAACTGTCAAAAGAAGCGAAGAGGCGGTAAGATGTGGTTATGTAGCCTCACCTGATGGACACAATACTGTTGGTGTTGGGGTTAGAGTTGGGAATCAGGGTTAGAGGTTACTGTTAGGGTTTGGGGCTGGGGGTTAGGGTTATGGGTTAGAGTTAGAGGTTAAGGTTAGAGGTTTGGGTTAGGGTTAGGGTTAGGGATTAGAACAACTATTTCTCAACCACTCAAATTACAATCGCGCATTCCCAATGACTTTTCTTTTGCATACAACTACTTGACCTCGTCGCCTTGCGTTCCCTGGCCCAATCTGTAAAAACCCCTATTATCGCCGGTCCCGTATTAGAGGTGACTGGGGTTTGCTTACTTTACGTGGGGTTGCATAACCACATCTGACCGAAGAGGCGAGTCCTATGAAGCACTCGTGAAAAAGGAAACACGATCGCTGGAACAAGAGTTTTATTCGCTTGATGTTTCGGATTCCTGCTGGAACCCGTCATCGGAAACAAAGCTGTAAATTTTAATGACACCCTTTTCAACTATTAGCGGTCTATGAACACTCGTGCCTTTTTATCACTTATCACATCTGAACTGTGGTAGGATGTTTTCATAATGCTTGTTAAGAAAAATGAAGGCGTCATTAAATGCTGCCGCGTTTTCAGTTTTGATTTTTGAACCTAGAGTGCAATTTTGCCCACTTCTCATAACCACCGTGATATCGGTCAGGAGGAACTTCTGGGACATCAAAATGCTGTTATCATCCGGAATTTTGGACATTTGAGGTCACTGACAACAGCCAATGTCCAACAAAAACAGGAACAATTTAAATGTCCAGCCATTTTTAATGTTAAATGCCCAATGGACCAAGCTTGCCACGGTTTCTTTCGAATGAAGGTAGAAGTTACTATGACAAATTTGTTTGTTTTTTGTCATTTGCCACTGAATACAAGTAGTTTTCTGCCATCTCGGATGCCTAATCTGTTTCATCCCGACAGGCAAACATCGCTCACTTCACACGCTGTTGACTGCGAGTACAACTCATCTTAGATGTTCCCATTCCGGATTATCGAATATTTGGCCTGCATGAGATCGGTTCAGTCTTGATGGAATCAGGCAATCGATACTGACTGCGCGACAGCATGCACCATTGATGTGATCAGTAGTCACTTCCGCCTGTCGCATCAGCGCTAGCACTGCAAAGGTCAATCTGATAGCAGCAACAGCTGATCAGCCCGTTATCGATCGAAATTGCATCTGCCAGCTTTCTGATTTGGTTGCCAGCGCACACAGAAGTCGTGTGGTGTGAAATCGGGTCAGCTGTCAAAAGGTCAGCAAATCGAATGGGGTTTACTGAATTCATCCGCACAACCTCGAGTCTCGCGCACAGTTTACGCTAAAGTTGTTAGTTCAGGAGGTGATCATTTCAAACAACCGAGGGTCTGTAGCCTGTAGCAAAGTGGTCGGTTTGTAGAAATCACGTGTTACAGAGAGCAGAGATGGACAAAGGTCACTTGGTGCGTTCTTATGCATAAGGATGGGTGTTTAAACTTCTAGCACCAAAATTGGTAAGTGAGCCGCAAACAGTCACACTTATTCATACAGGAAGAGGCACGCAAAACGAGTGACTGGATTTCCGAAGTAGACAAACGTCCAAATGGCGGCAGACATCCCGAACAAACAGCCACCTAGCAATTGCCTTTATCTCTATCGAGATTGGGGACTGAGGCATATGGAACAGCGGATGTACCTTTGCTAATTGGAGGCCCTGTTTAAAGACGGGATATTTCTGCCATTGATCCAGTCCGGGTGAGATTGGTTCCTGATTTGAAGCGACCAAGTAAGCCGTTTCCGGTAGTTCACAAAGATCTGCTTTGTTGGCCAAAATCATGACGGGCGACTGTCTCCCCTCTCCGGTTTTACTATTAGGGGTGTCCCAAAACTGGCTCATCCAAATATCAAAATCGTCCAAACTGTCCTGTCTACAGGGATCATACACGAAGACTAAACCGTCTGCCTTCCTTCCGCATTGTAGGATCAGTGGACGAAATCTGCGTAAAGGCAAAGACATCGAAGTCAGACAGAAGCCGGAGCACATAGTTGGCTAGAATAGAGAATCCCTTCCACCAAAGTATGCTCAGAGAATATTAAGTGAATTAACTTATACTGCTGGTTACCGCGACTGTCCGGCGGTGTCCCACAGCTGAAGAACATATGGTCGAGATTCGAGGAGAATGGTCTTAATTTGAAATTCGACGCCTATTGTTTCTTGGTAGCGTTGACTGAAAAAGTTGTTACAAAAGCGTTGCACAACTGAGGTCTTTCCCACACCACTGCTGCCAACGATGAATATCTTGAACACCGATGCGCCTGTAGTTAATATCTGTAATATCAAAATAACTTTTATCAC